AACCAACTAGTTCATCTTGATGTCGGGAATTACATGACTATAACTTACAACCCAACTACACTTCCCCACTTCCATATGAAACTACAAGTCCATGAAAGAACTAAAATCCACTTTAAGGAGCTAAGTTACAAACAACAATATTCTGCTATAGGCATGAACAATGAATGCTGAACATTTTAACTGAAAGTGTCATAAAAATACATATAAAACTTCTCAATTTGGTATGCAACTTTCATGCAGAACATCGTGAAGCATAAGCTCCAGATTCCAGAGTTATCACCAACATTGATGTTCTGGAAGCTGCTTTTTTCACTTAAGGCTATACAGAGATAATAACTGAGTTAACATCTTGCCACCAGGCAAACTTGGTGAAGCAAATGACTTGAAGTAACTGCTAAAAAGTATTTTGTAATTGAAGGTATATATTAAAAAAAATAAAAAATAAAAAATAAAAAAAAAATGGAACTTACTGTTCCCAAGACATCACTGACATCGATGGAAGCAAATTCACAAGACAGTGCTGGAAAGCTGCAAGAAATAATTGAAGGAGCCATTAATAGAGATGGTAAAGGTAAATCTTGACAAAATGCAAAGTGAATAAAGTTTCTCCACAAAACGTGAGAAAACGCGCAAATGATAGAAAACATAATATAAACCTTCTAAAGGTCATGGGAAGATTTAATCAATTAAGACAAGTCATCAACCAAACAGAGTACAGGTACAAAATCAAAACATAGGAAGGGAAACATGGCCTCGTAGAGTTTTCAGATAACAAAGGTTTATTATTTTCCTTTTGACAAACATGTCTCATAAAGGTACTTGAAACTATAATCAGAGAAGCGGCCACTGTCGTCAATGGCGGAAAATGACGACAGGCTGAAATCATAACTGCCATCCTTCACAAATTTCAAATGACAGTTAGGCAGAAATCTGCCATGGAAAAAGTTTGATAACACTGGAAGAGACAAGTTAACACTACATTGATGTCATACAATACTATACATAGCAGAGACAAAATTTAGCTACTTAAAGAAGACTACACTGACGGTAGCAAAACCTACACACAGCTGATCAACCAAAAATGCTTTTTTTAAATTTTCAATTGGTCGATTTCAATTACCAAAAAGTAAAGAGTCAATTCGCTTCAAGGCTCTATGTCTGAGGACTATAGAACTAAATGCTGAAAATGGCACTTCATTCTAACACACTAAAAGTTGCCCGTAAACAAGTTTCTACCCCTTCCTCAGAAAATAATTTTCTGGCTAAATACCTTGAGGACCTAATGCATGGTAAAGGAAGATCATGCAAACTTACCTCATACTGAAATCAATTCGTAAAAAGTCTCCATCAGAACTCTTGTCAACGACAACAGATGTCGAGGTGCTTACCCTCAAATAATCATTCAGCTCCTGCAAATTAAAATTAATTCACAAGGCACATACGAAGAATTTACTAAATGGTGTTGTCGAACGTGCAACCGACTTATTTAGAGCTTATAATTAGTTAGGGTGAACAGAAATTCTTCTCAATAAATATAGATCAATAACAAACGAGAAATCTTTGCCTATATTTGTTTAGGCAGGATTAATTAACCACCGCTAGTGAGGAGTTAGCTTCCTACCATTCCAAACAAGAAGACCATCGAAAAGGCTGCTAAAATTGACAGCCCAGCTCCTGATAGTGATGCCTCGGTCAAGTCCCGGGGAATTTTCCTGCAATGAAGAGTCAGTAGTTGATGGGACATTCCTACTAAAAGACAGGCACACCTCCCACGTACACTCTTAAACTGAACATTTTGCCTATAGTACCACACAAAAGCATCATTTTCCTCAAATACCACTAAACCAAGATTTAATAAACAACTATTTTTAAGTTTCACAAGTGCTCTTTCATCTTCTGGTCAATATTTTTTCGAAAAGAAGTGAATATACAATCAGGACACAAATCAGAAAGCATGCTTAAAAATGAGGGAATGTAAATATTCCAATCTTCTTTTTCTGCAGTAGAACTAATATTTGGCCATGAGCTAAGAACTTCAAAGAATTTACATAGATACTACAGTTCTCTAATCTCGGACAGTATATCAGTAATCGTGCCAGGCACAACAAGAAAAAGGAGCATGTCCAACAGAAAAGGAAGTGTGTAGCTAGCACTAGTCAGGTCAAATATCACGTCGAGTGAACAACCTAGCCAAGTCTTCATAACAGAACAGCAATCATACAGAGATCCAACAGAACAACAATCACATTTACCAGCTTTTCTCAATCGCATACCAGCTACACCAATATACCGGCACACATCACACATTACACAGATAGATACACAACATAATTCTGCACAATGAAAAACTGAATCTATTGGAGCTTTTCGTAACAATAAACCCAGGAAGATACGATGATTTCGTTTGAACTAGATCATACATTTACGCTCCAAACAGCTCCTCGGCTTTCCATCAGAAAATGTTCCACCGGAACCCACAAGAAATCCGATGAAATACAGAACATATAACCAATCTAATCCGGCGAAAACAAGAATAAAATGAACGATGGATAATGTCAGCTACCTGTAAAAATCAACCGATTTGATTTTACTGGTCGAGAACATGGTGAATCAGTCGCCAATCTCCGAGGAAAACAACAAGACAAGGATGATCAATGTAGGGCAAACAAAATCGAGTAAACAGATCTGGGAAACAGGTTAACAAATCCTGGGCACTTTTTTTTTTCCAAGATTTTTCAACTCTCAAGCGAAAACGAAATGCGTTTGCTTTCGTTCAATGTGTGTGCGCGCGACAATTTTAGCGTTTTTGTACAATAGACCAGTGTTTTTCAACCCGGACCGGCCCGGCGGGTCGACCCGGGACCCGGTCGACCCGGAGCCAGAACCGGTCCGGGTGTGCTAATTAGACCGGATAACAAATGAACCGGTCAAAACCCGGTCAACCCGGCCTTGACCCGGGCGACCCGGTTGACCCGGTCCCTACATATATTTTAATTTTTTTTATTTTTTTTTATTTTTTTAAAAATAAAACTATGTATATATATTTATATGGTAAATATTTATTATTAAAAAATATTATTATCACTTTAATATACAAATTTTACATACAAAACATTTAATTTTGTTATTTTATGTATATTTATATGACAAAATACTATATATATAATTTTAAAAATTTTAAAATTAATTATCCGGTTCAGCAATTGACCCGGTGACCCAGCGGTTGAACCGGTGATCTGGTGATCCGGAGACCTTCCCGGGTCAATCACCGGGCTTAAAAACTATGCAATAGACGTTATTAAGCGGAATGTTTACATTAGTGGTAAAAGCATGGACCTTTTTGAAGTTGTAACTTATAACTCAATAATATGAAAAAGAAAAAAGAAAGAACAAAAAAAAAAAGAAGATATAATTACAGTATCTGAAAATTTTCTTTGTGCGTTATAAGGGGGATTTGTCATTTGTCAGTCTTATGAATGACTCGTCTCACTTGTAAACTAGTAATGACTGAAATTTTTTAGTTCTCCTAATATTACCTATTAAGCTCATGAAATACATATCCCCTGTATATAACTATCGAATGCGCTGAGCCTACGTGGCTGTTTCTGGTGCTTCAGAATCCTACTTGGCCAAAAATCATGCTTCGTAATTAGGTTTAGACAAATAATATTGATATATTAATAATTAATAATCTAGGTTCGGACATTCCATTAATATAATTTAGCAATCTTAGGTATTTTAATTCACTTGTACTAATATAACACTTTAATTCTTTATAATTTTACATAGTGAGACACTAAGTGACTAATGTTATGTAAAGAGGAAAATAAGGGAAAGGTAACATGCCCACATGCCCACATGTCCACCGTCCAATTCCCAATTGTTTAAAAAAAAATTTAAAAAAATTACAATTGAGATTGCAACTTGTTGGCAAATTGGTCAAATTGTTAGAAGATCTGTGCCTATAAATAGGCACTCGGCCAGAAGAGGAAGACACACCAAAATAAGAAGAGCAAAAGAGAGAAAGAAAAAAAAAAGGAAAGAAAAAAATATTTATGTCCAAATATCGGATATAAAAAATCAAAAGAAAAGAAATAAGTGATACTTTTATTTGTTTTAAGATATTCCTTTTATTTCTAAGTGTTCAATTCTCGATTCCGATCCCGTTCGCCGGAGCTCGTAAATCTGGTGTGCTACAGATTTAGAGACGTTTGTCGTTGTATCTTTGGGGAAGTTACGCCTGAACCGTTAGCTGACACACGGGGCATATTCTTCTTGCGGAAAGAGTTTTACTCGCCTCGACTAAAATCTTTCCGTTTTTCAGTTGTAATTTATTTTTTCAGTTCAATTGTAATTTTCTATTTTTAAATTATTTGTAAGAACTGAAAATTACATATCAGTTTGTAGGATTCCCGTGTAATTTCAACTGAATATCCAACAATCGCAAGAAGAATTTTAATCAACCTACTGAACTGATGGCATCCACCGGAGTAGGTTCCAGCTCTCAGCATCCGATCAATCATGTACATGTTGTCCATGTTACAGCTGAAAAGCCCGAAAAATTTAATGGGCTTGACTTTAAGAGATGGCAACAGAAGATGCATTTTTACCAGACCAATTTGGGTTTGGTGAAATACCTGAAGGACGACCCTCCGGTCATTTCGGAGAATGAGATCAATGCAGAACTACGCGTTGCGTACGATGCTTGGGGACAAGGTGACTACCTTTGCCGTAACTATGTCCTGAACGGGCTTAGTAACGAGTTGTACAATGTGTACAACTATGTTGGTTCTGCCAAGGAGCTTTGGGCTGCCCTGGAGAAGATGTACAAGACCGAGGATGTCGGGGCGAAGAAATTCGTCGTCGGCAAGTTTTTTGACTTCAAGATGGTTGACACGAACACTGTCGTGTCACAAGTGCAAGAGTTCCAGCTAATCTTGCACGATATCCATGCTGAAGGGATGACTTTGAGCGAGTCATTCCAAGTAGCGGTTGTAATCGAGAAGCTGCCGCCAGGCTGGAAGGACTTCAAGAACTATCTCAAGCACAAGAGAAAGGAGATGAGTCTTAAAGATCTGATAGTTCGTCTTCGTATCGAGGAGGACAACCAGAATTCATCAGGAAAAGTCCCGATGATGGAAGCTCGTGCCAACTTGTTGGAGCAAGGCAACTCGAGAAAGAGGAAGACCCAGAACAAGGGAAAGCAGCCAGCCAAGGTTTGGAAGTTTACCGGAACTTGTTACAATTGTTGAAAATCAAACCATATGGCTAAAGACTGCAAAAGGCCAAAGAAAATTGGGCCAAATAAAGGAAAACCGAGTGCCCTTATTGCTGAACACGGCCCTGTGTCGAGTGAATTGACCGACTTTGATATGTCGGCGGTGGTGTTTGAAGCCAATTTGGTGGATAACCCAAGAGAGTGGTACATCGATACTGGTGTCACTCGTCATGTGTGTTCTGACAAGGAGGTGTTCTTTGAATACACTCCTGCTACGGGTCGGAAACTTCACATGGGAAACTCCTCCACGTCTGATGTTGCTGGAGTGGGCACGGTGGTGCTGAAGCTCACTTCTGGAAAGGAGTTGAAGCTGAAAGATGTTCTGCATGTCCCAGACATCTGCAACAATTTGGTCTCCGGATCACTTCTTGTTGAGCATGGATTTAGGCTAGTGTTTGAAACTAAGAAGTTTATTCTTAGCAAATATGGAATATTCCTTGGTCGTGGTTATCTCGACAAGGGTTTGTTCAAAATGAATGTAATGGCCGTGAGTCGTGTAACCGTTTCTAATGATAATGAAAAGCCTATTTCTATTTATACCGTCGAATGCTCTGACTTATGGCATATTAGATTGGGACATGTAAATCTAAATGCAATTAAACGATTGATAAATTTAGAATTAATTCCTAATTCTAAAATCGAATCACATAAGAAATGTGAAATTTTTATTGAAGCAAAAATGGCTAAGTTACCTTTTCACTCAGTAGAAAGGAGTACTGAACCATTAGGCTTGATCCATACTGATGTATGTGATATGAAAAATGTGCAAACAAGAACGGGTAAAAAGTATTTTATTACTTTTCTCGATGATTGCACAAGGTTTTGCTACTTATATTTGTTAAGAAGCAAAGAAGAGGCTGTGGAAGCTTTTAAAGTCTATAAGACCGAAGTTGAAAATCAACTCGGCAAAAGGATTAAAATAATCCGAAGTGATAGGGGTGGGGAGTATGTAGCTCCTTTTGAACAAATATGTTCTGAATATGGCATAATTCATCAAACGACAGCCCCTTATTCTCCACAGTCGAATGGTGTTGCTGAACGCAAAAACCAAACTTTAAAAGAAATGATGAATGTCATGTTGATTAATTCAGGATTACCACAGAACATGTGGGGGGAAGCTGTTTTGACAGCAAATCATATCCTGAATAAAATACCACCTAAAGGGAAAGAAGAGACTCCTTACGAAATGTGGAAAAACCGTAAGCCGTCTTATAAATACCTGAAAATGTGGGGGTGTTTGGCTAAGGTTTCAGTACCTGAACCAAAACAAATGAAAATTGGGCCAAAGACGGTCGACTGTGTATTTATTGGATATGCGTACAATAGTACAGCATATAGATTTCTGGTTCATAAATCAAAAAATCCAGAGGTACCTGTTGGTACCACGATTGAGTCAAAGAATGCTATATTCTTTGAGAATGTTTTTCCTATGAAGGAAATGGCAGAATCTAATTCTAATAAAAGAACGTATGAAACTGCTAGAGGTTCTGTACCAGAGGGTACTAATGAAGAACCGAGACATAGTAAAAGGGTAAAAACGGCTAAAACGTTTGGACCTGATTTTATTACGTACATGTTGGACGATGAACTGGGTTACCTTAAGGAAGCTCTGTCCAGCCCAGATGGACCACTCTGGGAAGAAGCTGTAAATAGTGAAATCGAGTCTATTATGCAAAATCATACTTGGGAGTTAGTTGATCTCCCTGATGGTTGTAAACCTTTAGGATGCAAGTGGATCCTAAAGAAGAAATATAAAGCTGATGGGTCGATTGATAAGTTTAAAGCACGTTTGGTGGTCAAAGGCTTTAAACAAAAGGAAGAGTATGATTTCTTTGATACCTGTTCACCAGTTACGCGTTTAGCATCGATAAGAGTGCTTCTATCAATTGCTGCTTTGCACAATCTTGAGATTCACCAAATGGATGTCAAGATGGCATTTTTGAATGGTGAATTAGAAGAAACAATATACATGGAACAACCTGAAGGGTTTGTTGCACCTGAACAAGAGAGAAAGGTGTTTAGATTGATCAAACCCTTGTACGGACTGAAACAAGCTCCGAAACAATGGCATTTGAAATTTGATGACGTGATGTTGTCAAATGAGTTCAAAATCAACGAAAGTGACAAATGTGTTTATGTCAAGAGTACATCAAATACATTTGTGATTGTATGTCTATATGTAGACGATATGTTTATCATGGGGAGTAGCCATGAAGTGATCATGGATACGAAAAGAATGTTGAAGAGAAATTTCGACATGAAAGATATGGTTTTGACTGATGTTATTCTTGGAATAAGGATTATCAGAACCCAAGATGGAATTGTC